ATTTCTAAAGATGATATCATCCAATCCTCCAGCTCGAGTTGTTGGCCAGACATCGAGGTTAGGTACTGAAGAGTATGGGAACAAAAATGCCTGTCAATGTGATGCATCTGCGGGTTGGCCAGTGCTCGCTGAATGGAAGCCATCATGTCCAACATATTGTTTTGGCTAAGTTCTACGAAATGAATTGAGATGCAAACGTAGCCGTAAATGAACGGAGCTGACGGACGTATGGTTTCCAGCAGCTGCATGTTGTTCTGCTCAAGAGCTTGCAAGCGGTGATGCAAGATATCCATATCTGTCATTCTTGCCAGTTCATTCTTTCTCAACAAGGATTGGATGTTTATGGCACTGGATATCTGTGGCCAATCGTAAGCCTCGTCCGGTTGAAGAGATTTCTTTTGTCACCTGAAAGGCATTGCAACTGGCTTCAATGCGTTGATAGAAAGCCTCAATACTGCTAGTTCGGGTTCCGCTATTCAGGAAAGCCATCAAAAAATTCCTTTTTTGTTCCTTGTCAACGAATCGGTGGATCTCGTTGAGGAGCCTGATGTTAAAAGTGAGAGTGACAGAAAACTTAGTGGCAAATCCCACCTCTCCAAATCCTTGAGCTGTATGGTGTAATTTGCCACAACAAGCTTTGACTGCTTGAAGCTTGAATCTAGCGTGGTCAAGAGCTGCGCAACCGCCTCTGCTAGAACATCGAGCTTGCATCGAGCTGCTCCTTGCTGGTTTGGACGGTGTTGATGCCATTCACAATAAACTTGTATACTGTCCATGCAGCAGATAGTCCTGGGACCGGAATGGCTGAGAGGGCGAGATTCACTACATCGTCAAAAGACATGGTGGTATGGAAGCAGGAGGATGGGGGTTCCGAAGTCGTATCTGACAGTTACCACAGGTACTGTCACGATGCTGTTCTATCACGATCATGATTGTGCGGTTTCAGGAATTCCCTCGTTGACACCGGATCACGTTGAGGCACTGTCTCGACAGCATGGATGCTTCTCGTTATCTACGGATGATTTTCATCTTCAACACCATGATTTTCAACTTCAACATCATGATTACCAAGCCACTCGCTCCAGCAGAGCGGGCTTCTCCCTCGGTTCCATCTTTGTAGTGCAATGTGGTGCTGCCATGTCGGCGTCATTCCTCCACACCGGCAGTCCTCAACTACTCTCTGCACCATTGGTAAGACCAGGGACAACTCCTCTGGGAAAGCCACCAAGTTGCGCACAATGATACACGCGAGGTTAAATTAAAGTCCTTTTCACGGAAGTAGTACGGCTGATCAGCGAGGTTGGAAAACAGTGCCCAATAATTTAAAAAGAAGTGATGATATCTGCGGAGCTATGAGATGCAGTGGAGCCGCATGCGCATGCGATAAGGACGGGGCAACCGAGCATGCAATGCATGCCGGTCGTACAGAGTGTTCGTGGTTCAACAGTAGTTCAGAGCAGGCTCTTCCCCCACATGCGGTGACAGCGACAGGCAGCCCAGCTGTATTCACGGTCCGTAGGTGCGAGCAAAAGGCAACTTGATTCCGTGTTCATCTGCATGATACGTGGACAGATCGCCCGCGCCAAACATGAAAGGGTGGAGACCATCCCAAGATGATAGATTGCGGTCTTTGGTGGCGCATGTCTGGTTTCCCTTGCATACTCCTTGGCTATGCAAGATCGCCGTCAGTAAAACCTTCGCGTTGGACTCGGCATAAGATAATTAGACGGGCGCCTTTGAATACAGAACTCCGGAAGCCGTTCATCGTCGTCCGGATATAGAAGATAGGCCGAAGACCAACTGCGAGGCTTGTATAATAGTTTTGGAAGGCTCGATGGTAACTTCCTACCTCTCCACTCCTAGGTGGCCTTGATGTAGTTCGAATCAAGGTGGACAGATTTCTATGCCACGCTGTCATATCAAGACACCTCGGGATATTTGGATCAGTGGATGGCACATCCCCATCCACCCGTGTTTCTACTCCGTACTCCGGCATTTCGCGGAGGCAGCAATTGCGAGACTCGGAGAGTCGACTGGAGCCTACCGGTTGTCCGCTCTTTGTCCGCCCATTTTCCGCACTTTACAGAGCCACCTTGTTGAATGTATTGGCTGCTGCCACCAGATGCCATACGACCGAACGAGCGGTTTACCACACCACGCTTCATGTATCATGCCCATAAGCTTGATCCGTTGCTGTGTGAAGCCAGGTGTCATTTCCGACTCACAGACAGCGGTATCGTAATTTATCCTACCCACAGGGAGTAAATACTTCCTTGCGCAGGACGAGTACACAAAGGATTGAGCTAGACAGCCGGCCAAAAAAAATGAGAACGTATCAACTCCGGATACCGTCGAGAGAAATCGAACCTCCATGTCCACACAAGAACGATACGAAGGGCTGGCAGCAGAGGAAGGATTTGCAATGCGCCTCCCATTTCGGCACTGTGGTACACCGACTAAGAACTTACAGGACAATTAGGACTAGTGTCTATCGCACTGCGGTTTCTCTCGCTCGTGCGCTCGCACCGCTCAATCTGGCCGAGAGCCGGGTAAAAAACCGCATTTTCACACCGAAATGCCATCTGGAGGATTCGAACCTCCGCGTGTCCCCATGAAGAGATTTTCAGCTAAGTACTGGCGCATGATGAGGGGGTGGCCGCCATAGCCCACGACGGCTTGCTTTTCCCTTCAATTAGCTGGGATACACTGTGTCGTCGCGTGGCGGGAGGGGGTACAATATCCGGGGGTACTCCGCCCAGCCAGTACACAATCTCCTTCAGTTCTGGTATTCGTTTTCCCCGCGGCGAAGGAGAACAACGCGTCTCATACCCACTGTGGCGAATAAAAAGTGGACTGATTATATCCTTTGAACCTAATGCCGTCGGGAGGAATCGAACCCCGTCTGTCCCGTGAAAGATCACACGCTTAGTTACAATGATGCGGGCTGGCGGCCATGGCCCACGACAGCTTATTATACCCATGGTTAGCTGGTATATGCGGTGTATTTTGATTGCATTAACATTCGTTTCCACCGGGTTTCGGTGAGTTTTAGGGAAAAAGCTCTCAATATTGAGGAGCAGTCTTGCGTTGCTCACACAGGATGATGCACACTGAGTTCTGGATGACTTCCTCCTTTTCTTCAAGCACAATCGCAAGAATCAACCACAATCAACGCATGGCCGGGAAAGGCCGGCGGTAGATCAAAAGTGATCCCGGGGGCGGCGATAGTACGCACGCGCAAACACCACGTCTTTTTTCCTTTCCTCCACCATCTGCTGCGGGCGCCCATCCTCCTTTTCTTCCCTCACACCTGTACCGCTCTCTCGCGACAGCATGACTACACGCACGCATCCTCTCTCTGTGGCCGCACGACATGGATGCACGGTTTCGACAACGACGCCAAGGCCCAACTCGCACCGCCCGACAAGGGCCGACATCGACGCAGCTTGAGGAAGTGAACTGTCAGAGGCGTGCGGATTGGGCATGCGAGCCTCACAGAACGCGCGCAAGAACGAGAGATCTGTGTCCATCTCACCGCGTGGGCTTCTCGAAAGCGTCCGCCGGGACTGCTGAATCGAATCGGCAGCGGGGGGACGCGTGTCCCACACGGATTGCCGCTCTGCGCGGATGCGAGGGCGTACACAACCGGCACCCGGTCGAGAACATCGTGTTAGGCGTGGGGATTCACGGCGCGTCGGCGCTTTCCCCCCTCCCTTTCTTCCCTCACACGCTCCCTGGCTCCCTCTTGGCCCCCCCTCTCCTTCTCGTCGTCAATGCTCAACTCCTGCATACTCGCAAAGACACACAGGACAGCTTACCCGCGTCATCGACGCACTGCACATACCCTACGGCTGCTCTGTCTGGAATCTGGCTCGACGGCGTGCGGCGGCCGGACAAGGTGTTCTTTCATCGCGGCGATTGATTCAGTGAGTTCCCTTGTTTACCTGCGGCTCTTTGCAATTCTTTGCGGTCCAACTGCATTTAACCCGCTTGCCCTCACCCACCCTTCCCTGAATCCACCCTCACCACTTCCTGCCTCGTATATCCGCGCTCCACTTTCGCGTCCTGTCTTTGCAATCCCTTTCCCCTTTCCCGCTCCTTTTCCTCCCCACTTTCCCTTGCCGCTCTTCTCGCTCTCAACCCCACCACTTACTCCTTTTCTCTGCCTTCCCCCTTGTATCTTGCGTCGTATCTAGCGCTCTCGATACCCCCGCGCTGCTTTTAACCATCACCTATCACTCATCCAACTCATGCTCGCGCGCTTGTTCCCCATTTGCACTGCTTGCCCTTTCACTTATTGTTAACGATGCTCCTCACCCTCGCGTCTTCCCCTTCCCCTTCTGTCTCCCTCTTTACCCTTCTCCTTCCTCCCCCCTCTGTCTTACCCCCCTCGTCGCTAACGCACCGCTGTCTAAATGAATCAACATCGAACCACAATCCGGCCGTGACGCCGTCTTCTTTTCCGCTGTGTATTTGACCTCTGTCGACAATCTCATCTGTTTTACCCGCTTGGTTTTCTTTCTCTTCCTTTCTCCCCCACTGGCACAACGACTGGGACAAGAAGTTCGCCCCGCATGGCAACTTCCTCGATACCTCCCACCCGCTGTACTCTTTGCCTGCGGAATGTGTTCTTTAGCGAATGCGCCCGCGGAACCTGCTCAGCTCTTGGGTTGTGCGAGTGCTAGTCTCTAGTCGTGTGGATACGAATCTGGACTTTGTCGACGCAAGGATATAAGAGGAATATTTTGACGGACCTGCTTGGACTTGACGACTCGGGAGGAATGCTGAGTACTACATATCTCTGCACGGTAACGCATGCGCTGCGACCCGACATTAACTTGGAATTAGTCGATTAAGTGTCCAAGATTCGACAGGCTTGCGAATTCCGTGCGTCTGTATGTACTGGCGCGTCCTGGCAGGTGTTCAGATTCCCTCGCGCGTGTTGATAATCATCTCGGTCTTCGAACAGGCAAAGAAAAAGCCGTTCTGTGGAGCGTGCAAATCCGCGGGCGGAATCGAACCACCGTCTCCCTCAAACGAAACACACGAAGGTCTGTAGCTGAGGAGGGCGAGCTACCTTGCTCTACACGGACTAAAAACCCATTGCTGAGCACGGCTAAGTGGTCCTCCGAAATTTTCCGTATGCGTCATTCTTTGCGGGGAAATTTTTGATCCTTGACCCAACCGTCCACGACTCTCCGACACGACTTTCAAGAACTTGGCGTACAACGCGGTGAGTGAACTGTTTGCTCATAAAGAGGGGGAAAAACATTTCGTGACCGCCGTAGGGCCGCGGGTGGGCTCGAACCACCGTTTCCCTTGACACATTCTTGAATTCGAAACAACGAGGGTGAGCTGCTGTGCTCCGCGCGGACCTGAAATACTCACTTTCCACCGTAGTACACAAGGGTGCGTCTAGTATGACATACTCCATAACCTTTTTGCGCAAAAAAGGCCATCTGCGTATCCTACGGCTGCGCGTGGGGTAACCATTGAGTCTCAGATTCGAGAAGATACTCTCATATCAATCGTTGAGGCGAGCTTCAAAGCTCCGTGCGGACCGGGGAATTGCGGTACGGAGCGTCGGTAGGTGCGCTCTCACACTCAGCAGCTCGACGACCTTATCGAATTTCCGCTCCGCATGCTCACCCATGGTCGAATATTTTCCAGGAATTTTATTCCATTTTCTTAGGGCCGACAGCCATGCTGACTCGCCGTGTAAGCTCCCCAAATTCAGCCACGGATCGCGGATTGCATACCAAACGCTTGGCAGAACGCTTGACAGCGCAGAATCTCCGCTGCTGCCACGCTATATTTGAACATCTGCCTCGTGTCCGCAACGTGTGCAAATTGCGACTCGACTTCTGCACTCATGTCGAAGGAGGCCTCCCCGACCCAGGACGAGCTACCCGTGCCGAAAGATGCATCTGCGCCCTTCTCTGGCGCAGTGGAGCCAGGCAGCGAGACCCGTCCCGCGGATTTCATCCTCCGCTCGAGTGACGGCGTCGACTTTCACGTCCGAAAGGACATGCTCCGGGCGACCTCCGACTTCTTCGACAACATGTTTTCGGCGCCGAGCACCTTTGCGGATCCAAACGAACTTGCACGCGACGGAAAACCTGTGTTGTCTGTCGAGGAATCTGCCAGAGCGCTTTACGCACTCCTCTCTCTCGCATACCCTAGAACGTCCTGGGGAAAACGACCAGTCGATCCCTTGGACATCGACAGGATCGTAGCCGTTTACGCAGCGGCGGACAAATATCAGTTTTTGTCCGTTGAACACCTGATGGAGGAGATGTTGGTTCAGCCTGCTCTTCTCGACGCATACCCTCACCGACTGTTTGCAATCGGGAGATTGCGTGGCCTCCCATCCCTTTCACGGAAGGCGGCTATGCGCACACTGACGTTACCGGTGTCTCCTGCGGCTCTTCAATTTCCCGAGATGGACCTCCTGCCTTGGTCGGCCGGGCAAAAGCTGCACAACTTCCACCGAAGATGTTGCGCGACGGTGTCAGCCCTCGTCGAGGGAACGACGGGCTGCTACTATCGGCCGGAGTCGGAAGCCCCCATCAGCCTCAACCAGGAAACTCGCAAACTTTTTATCTGGTGGGGGGATAAACATGAGCATGCTCCTGATTGCGGGCCCTACAAGAAGACTCATCGACAACCGACTGCACCGGCCGAATGGTTCCAGAAGCACGTTGCCCACCTCGCTTCTCAACTGCGCATCTCGCCCGCTGCACGAACTGTCCAAAACCTCATACATAATATCGCGCCGGAGTGCCGCGAGGTCATCGGTGCCTGTGATAAGTGCTCAGAGTTTGCGGAGCGCGATCTCGAGACATTTGGGCGGCAGTTGACGGAGCGTATCCAATCGGCAAACGCAGCTCTTGGTAAGTCACCACTAGCTTTGAACGAGTTTGCATTCACATTGTTGAAGCCGAAGAGCTCCTTTGAGAGTAAGCAGCAGTGGATATGTCCACCCCAACGAACTTGTCTTGGAATCATTGTAGGATTTGTCTTGTGCATGTCGCATTGAAATGTATGTAAATTGTATCTAGTTCCCCATGCTTGCAGGCTTATGGTCCGGATGCAAGGCTGGGCTGCAGGGAGGGTACGCGATTCTCCACCATGTTCCTCCTCGTTCAACATCAGTCCACTTTTACTCAACGGCTTGGTCATGACTCGGTCATCTCGGGCTTGGACTGGATTACTTGCAACTCCAACACTGTCGCATGCGCGGGAAACATATGTATTTCGATCCATTTCGAATGCTCTATGGCATACTGCCAACAATATTTTTCCTCGTCACGTAAAGCAGGCACAGTAGCGAGCAGTATCAGTAGCCTACATTTTACCTAGTCCAGTCCCAGCTCGTATGGTCCCTCGGCAGCAACCTGGCGCGGTTGATAAAAGGACTACTTATGATTAACCGACGCCGACCGTCCGCGACCGAGCCAGTACTAGGCCGAAACTGCCTTGCAAATGTGTCCTGGTAGCTCTTGGGACAACACAGAACGTTTAAAGCACTGTGTTTCGCGGATGAAGTCAAACTGGGAGTCCGGCTTGAAACGGTGTTGACGATACAGATTGAAAAATCCTGACAAAACGAAAGAGCAGTTGAAGGATGCCGTCGGGAGGAATCGAGCCCCCAGCTGTTCCTACGAATATTCACCCATTCACTACAAGTATCGGAACTGGCTTCCGTGGCCTACGACAGATTGTTTCTCTCTCTGCGAGATCAAACCTTCGGCATGGCACCGCTGTCTTCAGTGGCTTCCAACGAGTCGTGGGTAATGAGTCCACGCACCTAGAATCTTTTGCCCGCATCTATAAAACAAAACAATAATGGTCGAACCAGAGTCTAGCATGTCATCGAGAGGAGTCGAACCTCCGTCCGCCCTTCGTTTTCCATATGTTCTACCCTCGTCATCCTAGGAGGCTGGCCTCCGTGGCCCACGACAGCTTTCTGTTTTACTTCCTTTTTTTTGTTTTGTTTTCAGCTCCGTATACGTAGCCGCATTATGTGTCACTTGACGGGCGGATGGGTTGTGGATTCAAATTGTAATTCGTGCCCGATATCGGTATCAGATCCGAAGATGTTTCTTTCTAGTGCTTATCCCACGGAGTCTACGGCTCCTGCAGTGCTTGTCTGGTGAAACAAAAAATGGACTCGGTGCTCGGCCATCGCGAGGATTCGAACCTCTGTTTAACGGTTAGCCCCATTCAGTTTCCTGGCGATGTTCGATGACTAGGGGTGGCCGCCATGGCCCACGACGGCTTGTTTGACCTGCGTCTGGCTGTTTTGTGGGTGGTAAATTTAGTCCCTTCCTCCGGTTCCTTTCGATCAATTTTGAATCTGGGTCGAAAATGGTGGCGGTGAGCGGATTCTCGCAGCAAAATGTTCCAGAAGCATGCGTGAATGATGTCCTTCGACGAGACGACTGAAACCTGACTCGAGGAGCGAAGGAGTCAAGCTCGTCAAGGAGAGGAATTGGACACGGGATCAAGCAGTGGACACTGTTCGGAACCCGAACCGTTGGAAATTGATCGGAGAATTTGACGGCGCTTTCGAGATCCATCTAGTGCCGATTGCGTCTCGAGATGACTCACTGTCCTCTAACTACGAAATCGCAACCATGGACCGGGAGAAGCCGGCCGCATCAGTATCAAAGTGATAGGACACACGCGCAAACAACTCGATCGTTTTCCTGTCTGCTCCCACCTTGCTCCCACCTCCTTGACGCTTCCCTCCACTGCAGCATCCTGCGGCGCCGCCCTTCCTCCTTCGCCGCTGCTCCGATTCTCCCTACCTCAGTCCCCTCCTTCCCTCCTCTGGGCCTCTGACGACAAGAACTGGACAGTGGACACAACCCGGGGGTTTCGCGTGGCGACGACACGCACCGTGCCGCCTCTTGCTGTCAACTTGCTTCTCACCTTTCTGGCTCTCTGCGTTGTAACAAAGGACTACTCGCTCATCGAGTCGAAGTGGCGCGTGATCATACGACAGCGCGGGGAACGTGAGTCGTGATTCTTACACGAGCCTTGCCGTATCGCACCTTGGTACATCCCCTCTCCCAACCCTTTGATTCCGTGCCAACTGCTGATACGCAAATCGGCACGCTCTTCCTCTGAGCCGTCGGCGGCTGCACATCCGCTGCTACCTATGGCCGGGCACCTAGCTGAGAGCGGCGTGCTGCCGCAGGGAGATGGACCAATTTGGTGCGTTGAAATCTTTCTTAATCGTTGTTTGTTTGGAGCCCCTTCTTTCCATCTTTCATTTCATTCACCATTATTCTTTCCTTCTCGTCCCCACCTTTCTGCCCACTCGCCTCTTGTACTCCCAACTCCCGGCTTTCTCTACCCATCCGCATCCACGTTTCGCTCCCGTTCTCCCATCCTCCCAACCCTCCCCTTTAACGCTCTTCCTCACCCTTTTTTTCTTGTCTCTCATCCCTCGTACCCGGCCTCGCCCCTTTCCCTCCTTTTTTCTCGCGTCTCACTTCTTTTTCGTCTTGCTTTTCCACTCTGCCTCCAATTGGACTTGCGGCTTTCCCTTCCTTCCTCCCTATTCTCTCGTGATTACATATCGCTCGCCCTCCTTCCCTTTTTTTTCGCCCTCACCCTGCCTCGCTCTCCTCCTTCTCACCGTCCCCATTTTGCTAACGGCACACTTGCGCTAACACCCCGCTCTAGCTCGACTCCATCGTCTTGTCGTCGTCTACGCCCGCGGATCTGCGTTCGTGTGCTGAGAACGAACTCCCGCAGGAGGATGCGCGCCTGCCCGGGTCTATCCTACGGCCGCTCTGTTGATTCTAAACGCCAGACAATCGTCCTCCAAATCCGCAATGCACATCTACGTCCGCGTTCGTCGAGGAGCGCGGGATAACTTGTCAGCGTCAGCGGGGGTGTTATTAGGACAAGGCAACCGCGGGGTATGATTGCTGGCGCGTTTTCCTCCTCCTTCACTTCTCTCCCTCTCTCCCTCCCTCTCCCTCTCCCTCCCTCCCTTGCCCACCTTACCCCGTATCGAATTTTGCGTGGTTGCGGTGACCAAATGGATTGAGTTAAAATGATACAGTGGGTGCGAGAT